AAGTTTGCCACGTTTTGCTCGATGGTTACAGACAGTCACTCTTAAAAACTAAGATATAAAAGGTATGCGAAACAAAACGATAAAAATTGTATTTATAAATTAAAAGCTAACTTAAACAAATGTGTCTTTAGAATTTTTTAAAAAAAACAGACACAGATGGAGACTTTCGTGTTTCTAGCGGTACATTGTTTCACAATCTTGGTCCAGCAACAACCAAAAAGCATCGTCTCCATACGTTTTAAGATTGCTATTAGGTATAGATAAAAGTTCTTTGCTAGTGGAACGTAATGATCTAGAGTACTTCTGATAACTTAATAACTCAAATAAATAGCATGGTAGAAGACCGTTTTAAAGCCTTTATATACAATTAAAAGTAACTTACAAAGTAATTCTATATTGTACAGGCAGCCAATGTAACCAGAGTTATTAACTCTGATGTACAAGCTGGAGTTATGTGCTCAAATTTCTTAGTTAATGTAACAACACGAGCTACTGCATTCTGTACGGACTGTAACCTATTGACAAGAAACTTAGGTATACCACAAAGTAACGAATTCAGCAATAATCAAGTTTAGCACTTATGAAAGCATGAACCAAGATCTCACAAATAGTTTGATTAAGAAATTTACGAATCTTAGAAATGTTTCCTAAGTGAAAAAACGATGCCTTACATATCTGTTTAACATGATCTTCCATACTAAGTGAGTTATCAAATAATACACCTAATTCACGAACAGAATGACTGGGCGCTACACTTTCAGTTCCTACTAGTATATTTGCAAGATCAGGCCTAGGAAGAAACCTAGAGCTTATCACTATCGGTTCAGTCTTGTCTTGGTTTTACTTAAGGTAGTTTCTAGTCATCCAGCAGTCAATATCCTGAACACAACGTTCGACTGAGGACTGTGCATGCTCAAGATCTTTGGAGCAACTTGTTTTGAACGATACATATATTTGAGTATCATCAGCATATAAATGATATTGCAATTTATGTCTTTTGATGATGTCTGCAATATCTGCAATGTCTCCAGTTTCGAATTCCAAATTACCGCTGTGTTCCTTGATTACAGACTCATTTGCACAGGGTTAGCCTCGTTTCAGTGTTTAAATATTCACAAATACCAACAGTAAAGTAAAGAATGCACAACTTCAACAATACAAACACTTTGAAACTCGACGGACCTTGACTGGAACACGTGAATATTCTGCACAAACATAGTAGGCATTTTTAAATATACGAAAATTTACTGGGGGTAGTAAAATATCCTGTATAAAATATAATTAACTTACTCAGGGTTTATAGAAAGGTTATTGCAAATTTATTTCCTTATTGTATTCAGTGTTTTGATTTTAAAATGATGACAAATAAACCCAAATGCCTACTATGACATCACACTCATAAGCATACTGGAAGTATAAACCTTGATATCTCCAAGATGCATCACTCGAATCATACAGAAATAATTTACTATTTAACTTTTAACTTCATGTAGAATCAATGCTGATAACATTGAGTTAGGGGTTATAGGCACTTTAAATTAAAAAGGTTTCACCATCCACAAAAGCTCAATATTTTACTGTTTACCCCAACCCCCCTCTGAAGCAAAAGCGAAAAGTACAGTGCAGTGTGTCTGGATGACTTTCCCTCTGCATCTATAACCATTGATATAATGCAGAACAGTGATTTACTGCCATAAAATTAGAAGTTTGTAGGAGCAATTAAAATAGGAAATCTGATTTCTTTTCAGACGCAACGTTCAGTGCCTATGAGCCGTATGAGACAACAGTAAAGAGAAAAAATACCCATAAGTATATATCTGTGGTAAGTATATATCCATGACGAACCAAGTAAAAACAAAAAGATATAACTAGCTAAAAACTAGTGTGAGCTGCGTCGGTGTTTCTAATGAAAACAGTAATGATAAAAGGGTAAATTTTACACCGTGAAAAGATGAAAAAACTTACTGACGTTTCGGGCGCTGGTAGAAAGGAGTGTTGATATACTAAGAAAAAGGGAGTTCTTCCCTCTGACAAAGAACTTATCATTACTGTTTCAAATAAAAACAAGTCCTCTCTATGTGTTGAGTTATATAAGCATGTTGGGGCTCGTATAAAATATCGGCACCAGCTTCAATGACTAGGACGGATCAGATAGGATTATTTCTAACTAGCCTGCGTAGCGGCCCTCAATAAATCGTGGGGTTGGGATTTTATTGAGGGCCGCTACGCAGGCTAATTCCCAACAGGGGTTGAAGGTTATTAGTATGGAAATCAGAAAAATTCCATTAGTTTCGGCATAAGTTTGGTTACGATGGCCGAGAAGGGCCACTTCTGAGTTCCGAGTTCCGAATGCTGACTTCCGACTTCCGACTTCCAACCCCGACTTCTGAGTTCCGACTTCGGATTCCGAGTTCTGCGTTAGAGGAGGAGTGAGTAACTAAGGGAAATGCTTTACCGATAATTAGCTGTCAGACCTGTCAAAATGATTTTATGCAGAAACCAAACTGAAAGAGACTAACTAGGTCTTTGTAGATTAATTTTTGTTTAAACCAACGTTTGACAGTTCGAAGTCCCATTGTAAAACCATGAACAACGGCTAGAAACCCTAATATTTCGTAGTTTGTATAACCTTGATGAAAGTAAGTTCGAATTAATTCTCGTATATCTGGCCATGGCCAGAAATTCCGGATGGTCCTGCGCAGTAAGGTTCACCAGACCTTTCAAGACAATCTTGTGAATAAATACATAAAACATATAGGTATGTTATGGTATCGTAAATTTACGAAGAAAATTCCGGATGTGACGCAGGCTACTCTCCGGTTTTCTTCAAATTTTCTGAACCTTTAGCATAAAGGCTAAAAATTGCATTTCCGAGGGTCTGAATTTCAAACATTATCGGGGGAGCAGGTCCCCTAGCCCCTCTAGTTGCTCCCGCATTCAGCGATAAACATTTCAGCCTGGCTACGGCCCTGATCAGTAGGCCATATCTATTATTACTAACACTAGCCTAGCTTCCTAGTTGACACGATGAAAATAGTTTTTATCTAATGCTAAAAAATTTTTATTTTCACAAACGTTGCAAACCTCTATAAAATTTTATTGAAACTTTTATTAAAACTTAATTCTGAACTAATCTAGAGTTCAGAATACCTGACCCACATAAAAGTTTTATAGTGAAAATATCGTTATTTAGCTGTTGGTATCATCTTTATCATCACTATAACAACACTACTTTCTGGGGGGTCAGAACAAATTGTGCCTCACAAAAAGGGGGGGTCAGGAAAAAGCAAACATGCCCTCCTCCCTATAAATAATGACCGGTCCCTAAGTCACTTCGACATTCGGCAGCAAGAATAAGAAGCCAAAGATAATCCAAAACAATGTCCCAGCTTATTGTCCAAGGTAGGATGACATGTTAATTTACTAGTTAAACAATTTGGTTTAAGGAATATTTATTTCCTTAGCGAATACAAGACATTTTTTATGGATGTTATACTCAACCTTAGTCATACTTCACTTGAAGTTGAAACGAATATAACTGTATGGTATTGCATGTTTTTCACAATTACTGATTTGAAGTTGGGGTATATTATAAAGGTTATTTTTATGTAAACGTTTCTATAAAATATGAATCTGAAAACCATTCTGATCCGTTCCTCTGAAATATTGAAAGCTAGCTGATACGAATGAGTTGTCGACTCTTCTTCCGATCCTGTTAGAGTGATTTCCCTCGCACGGGCTCAAATCCCGTTCAAGGCTCATATTTTTTTCCGAGTCTTAAAATAAGACAGTGACGCAGCTAAAATGCTGGATCGTATTATAAGCTTTTTAATAAGCATTTGCACAATCCCTAATTCCTACTGATTAACGATTCCTTACTGATAAAAGTTTTAAACAATTTAAGATGGGCACCAAGGTAACGACAACTAAAATATATTTTATAAATAAAATCTTTCTTAATTGTTTGGACGTGAAGCGTGATGCGTACTTGGCATTCAAAGAAACAATCCTGAGTTTTGTAAATTTAAAAAGTTATAAAAACCCTATATCAGTCAAATTTGCCTAAAAAATGTAGATTGATAATAGGAGGTAAAATTTTGACGGTACTCAGTCATAGGCCCCGTTTACACAAAGCCGGATATTTTTGTAAACGCATATTTTTTTATCCGTTTAGGCCTACCGTTTACTCGGAGACGGTCTTTAGCCGGCTTTTTTCGAAAACGCTTTTCAAAACGGATATTTTTGAAAACGCTGGCTATGCGTTTCGGTGTAAACACTCGAAGCCGGATATTTTCGTAAACGCTGACGTCACTAAACAAAGGAGATCCCAGGCTCAGGAACTATGCGCATGCTCACTTAGTTCCTATAAGCGTTTCCGAGTCGATGGAGCGTTTTCGTGTAAACAGTCGAAAACGATGCGAAAACGATGAGCGTTTATGCGAAGCCGCATGTAAACGCACTACCAAGGCCAGTACATTAAATGTTCTATGCATACCACTCACATGCTGATTTTTACTGAGGAAGGAAACCAGAGAACCCGGAGAAAACCCTCGTAGTATGGGAGAGAACAATTTCGAGGAATTAAGATATCCCAAGCCTAGTGGCACACTGAAAGACTCACTCTCCCTGTCTTTCATTCTTGAAATCGTGAAATAACCATGAAGTAACCATGAAGTAATCTCTATTTCTAGAAATATCATTTTTATAAAGCAAGTCTAGCAAAGTTTCAAAAAGAACAAAATTCTAATCAGTTGGTTTAGCAATGTGCATGATATCATTTATAATTTTGAAAAGAAAGAGGTATGATCTAGTGATTTTTATTCACATATCTGACCTATTGGTGTTCTACTAGGAAAGTACTGAAAAAGTCGACACGTTTTACCATTACACCGACGACAAAGGCGCTGAAGGGATAACAAGGGATAAAACAATAAGACCATCTACCGACCCAAGAGACATGATGATCGGAAAAGGTATTTAAAAACATAAATATAATAAAAGATGTAACAACTTACACGGCAGTTTTTAAACAGGTTAAATTTTTTATATGTTAAAAATTTATTTATTTATTTATTTACTTTTAAATTTCTAAAATTTTCATAGCAAACGAGTTAATTTTTGACTTGAAAAGGACATTCAAAAGACGTTTACAGTCTATTTTGGAAGGTACAAAGCTACAAAAAAATGTCTACTCGCTAGTTTTAGCTACGGATGCGTCGGATATTTTTTGAATTTAGAAATATGACTTTATTGACAGCGAATGGCTAATCCTTTAGTTTTTAATGTTGTGGTTGTTGTTGTTGTTGATCCAGGGGTCTACTTGACAAAGAAGAATCCTGATAAGCATAGCAAAGAAGAAATATTACAAAACAACTATGATAGCGCTCTTCTTTCCACAAACCCCGATAGAGTAAAGAATTTTGTTAAAATCGATTTGCCTACTAGTAAAGTAGACAAAGCACCTGGCTCCCGTGATGTCTACAAATACAAGGGTGAGGATGGTCTCGACCTCAGAAACTATTGCCACGAGATCATTAAACGGGACTAAGATCGGCCCAGTCGTCGACTTGCATTTGCCGCGTCAAATCGTTTTGCCTATGAGGTTGAGCGCCGTTTTTCTTGAAACTAGTAGAAGGTTTATACCAAACATAACACATGCCGTCTTCTGGCGCTAAGCAAAAGAACCGATGTCTTATGTCGCAAGACCAAACAAATGCGGCTTATTCACCTATTGGGCACTCTTAGACCCAACGGGATTAATGAACGCTTTGCTTTTACCTAACCCACTCTTTTGTCTTTTGATTGTTTCTTTCGTTTCCTTGCCCACCTTGTTTTCATTGGTTTCTTTTGTCTTATTCTCAGTATATAAACAATCCTTTCTACCACCTCTCTCTCTCTTTTACTCCGACGAAGGACTAGCGTCCGAAACGTCAGTAAGTTTTTTCATCTTTTCACGGGTGTAAAATTTACCCTTTTATCATTACTGTTTTATCAGAAACACCGACGCAGCTCAAACTAGTTTTTAGCTGGTTATCTCTTCGATGTGTTATAAGATTTTAAGCGTTTAAGGTGGCTGCCTACTTTTGAACGTTCGATTTGAGCCCACGATGTGCGCGCGCTCAAAAACCGCTGAAAAATCTACAAGATTTTATTGAAGAACCATACGCGTTTTGGGCTTCAACAGGGCAAAACCCTCAAATTTTGCACGGGACTCTATATTTTTTGATAGCTCATTCGAAAAAACTCCTAAAAATCTAGGTTATATCGAAATTTTAGGAAAAGTTTAAATCAGGAACACATGAAAAAATAGATTTTTGTAGGGATTTTTGTTCGACAATCATAAAGTCTGCAAATAACTATTATCTTATTAATGTTATTTTTTTCTAATCACTTCCGGTGGCGCAATGTTTACTCCAAAAGCTCGTGCGTAGGCTTCCATTAAATGCTGATTATCTCGAAAACGAGCTCAAGTTACCCTATTTTTCTTTCCAGATTTGGAATCAGTATTAAATTTCAATTCGGAAAATGATCGAAGTTTTAGAAAAAGCTTAAATCAATTTCCAAAAGTAGGCAGTCACCTTAAGCCATTGTCCTCAAAGACAATTAGATTCGACGCGGCAAAAGTTCGACGACCAAAACTAAGATAGCATTGCTCTAGGGGTAGAGGTCTTGGTTAATATGTTAGATTGAGAAGACGCAAAGATCTTTACATAATCTGTTTTTACGCATGGGACACCTTGTTTTACTAGTCGTTGTTGCACTTAGTTCTGAACTGCCGTCTACTATTAATAGATAGCGAATTTGGCTGATTACCGTATGATCTAATAACCAACATTTGTTTGTGGGTAAGGGTTGAATAAAGATCGATAAAGATTTTTTTAAATCAACAATATTTGCTTTTTAGCTTATACTTAGGAAGATTTTTTTTAATCAACAATATTTGCTTTTTAGCTTATACTTAGGAAGATTTTTTTTAATCAACAATATTTGCTTTTTAGCTTATACTTAGGAAGATTTTTTTTAGTCAACAATATTTGCTTTTTAGCTTATACTTAGGGAGAGAATATAGTAATATAATAGACACCTTTTCGAAACTATCTTGGATGTAAGCCTAACACGTGATACACCGGCAAAAGAAATGTCCAAAATTCCATCGGAAAAAGTGTGTCTCCTTTTTTCCCTGTTAGCCTTGCATTTAATATAATTTTATAACTTGAATAGTCTATAACCGCCGCGACTCTCTACCATTTGAACCCCCTTTTATATCGACTGAGGAGGGTGCATCACGTGGTGGCAAACACCAACTTTCTATAAAGTCACGTGAACAAATCGTGTTCCTTGGAAATCCTGTAACGCACTATGCTGATAAACATAATAAACATTGTCAATTAGAAATAGGTCAGTACGTTTTTGGACTAATCGATATAGCTATACCGACCATCATCATTATTATCATTGCATCTCTGCTTATTGCATTTGACTAGAGACATATATATTCATACCTGACCATATTGAGATAAGCAACTTGTACTTAGACTCCTCACTAAAGCACGCACGTCCACTCTCTACATCACTGATATGACTTTCAGTGAGTTTGATAATCATCCTAAAACGTTGACTATATAGACAAATTGTAGTAAAGGTGACATTAATGACAAAACTCTCCCTGCAATTCTGTTGGTATTAACTATAGATAAATCACCATCCCAGTTCTAAGTTTATTTCGAATTTGTATATATATATTTCACTAGAGGCTCTTTCAGCTTCAATTGATACTCTGTGTTTGTTTTGTCAATCATTTAAATAGATCTATGTCCTCATACTCTACTTTTTGATATTATCTTTCTGCGCATGCTTCTTCCAGTTTATTTTCTTACTCCAGCTGCTACGGTATACGTAAGTAGTCGAAGTCAGTTTTACGTGTTGACAAGGACTGTCTCTATTTTGAGACCGATGAAAGGTGGCCAACTTGAATTCTATTGTTTTCCAGCTGATTTAAAAAACTTTTAGCCAATCATAAGAGAGAAAATTTGCAAAACTGAGGTGTCACTTTTTCTCTTGAAATCGCGGATTTCCAGTTCATCAAGTTACGCTTTTCAATGAGAAGCACATCTAAAAAGCAATTGAATTTGCAGGTAGTTGGAGCAATATGCGATACATCAAGACTTATTTGAAAACGCAACCCCAGCATTCTATGCTATGCTTTATAAAATCATTTTACGTTTGCCCCCTCGGAATTACAATTTTTTAAAAATCTTTGTGGAAGTTTTACAATGAAATATATGTGTCTACCCTGACAGACTATTCACTTTTTATTAAAAAGATATCGATGAAATATCAGGATTTATCCGGTGTCTAAAATCTCGTACATTCTACTCAGTGAAGATATCATATCCGTCACATGAGAAGATATGACCGTTGCCATGACTACGTTCTTATCAGCCAATCACATTAAGGCCTTCGAGGTTCTTTTAATCCTCAGATCAAAAATGTCAGCTCAATCGACGGCAACCGAGAATTGTGATTATGACTTTGACCTGTTTTTTATTTATTTTTTCATTTTATTTTCATGGGGAATCTTTTATCATCTTCAGTAGTAGAAACAGAGACTATAAAATAAGCCAGTGAGATTAGTCACAATCCGACTGATGGTAAAGTTACGTTGCAGAGTTAAAACTTTGCAAGCAATTTCTTGCCGAAAAACATGCCACAAAGTGAGATTAGTAAGTTTTGCTCTTATTCTAATTATTCTTTATCACAACGCATGCGCCGTCAACATTTTTTTAAAGSATGCCTTGTTATTATATATTCCAAACTTTGCTAAACCAACCAAGATTACATGAAACACGTTCCTATGATCGATTATACACAACTTTGTTGATCCTTGACAGCAAAAGAAGAAGAGTTACAAAACAGACACGTGGGAGAGCAATTCTTCTGTTTTATACAATGCATTTTTGCATAGCAGCACGCTTTTTCTGAAATTTTTCATTTTTCATAGTCGGCGAGTTGCCATTATGGACGTCATTATGATGGTGTAACCGCTTACTGCAAAAACATTAAACATGATTTGTTTGGTTTTATTTGTTTTAAGATCGACATAATTAAGTTCGATGTTTGAATCAACCAGTCGAACTTAATTAAAAGAGTCAGCTTGCAAAAAAAAATTAAAAGTCGAAGCCATTTATCAGGCGCGTACTTCTTTAACACAACTAATTTATCCCTTAGAACTGATCTTCAATTGCAGAAAACACTGCTGAATCAAAGCATGAATAGTTGACCAAAATAATCTATTGCCCATGAAGTTTGAAAATTCTTAGAAATCCTCGCTTATTAGAAGTCCTTATCATCTGGCTAAAAATTCTTGTTTACAATTACAGAAAATTAATATTTCTAGTTCGGCTGTCTTTATTTACAGCAATCAACGAAAAAGAGCATGCGTAGGTATTAATTTACGTCACGTCACGTTTTAATCACCCGGCAACATAAAGATATTGATTGACAGTTGGCTAATTGCTAGGACTGTAGACCGGAACCCTTTAGCAGAAGCCCGCAAAGGTCTCTTGGGTAAGGTCCCGAAGACTCCAGGGTACTATTGTGCAACATGTCCATTTTGTAGGGGAGGAATCAGGATGGAAAAACACAAAGGTATTTTATGAGCGCTTTACCACAGACAACCCGTTGTCTCTATGTTCTATGAGACAGAACAAAGACATAGAAAGAGACTGCCTTGATCGATGAGGCCAATGTACGCTTCTCACCCCTGTGCACTTGTTATAGATGTGTATCTTTTGTCTCGACTTGAGAACTACATACAAGGTCTTTGGCTTGCTTCTTGGTTTTGGTCTTTGTGGGTGTCGAAGGGATTTCAGAAATTTGCTCCTAAATTGATGCACTCTTTAGGCGGTAGTCTCGTTGATCGACCCAAAGGATTGTAATTCTTCAGAACTCTTATTTTCTGATTCAGTTTTGTTGTCCTCTGCAGGATTAAGAGCCTCAAAAGTTTTCTGTATTTTTCTTTCATCAGTATTGGTATTTGTCGTTTACGATGCAAATGTCGAAGGAAAGTACCTGAATTTCATAAGTTTGCTCCGAAGCGGCTTGATCGTTGATGGCTTTGTATGGAACAACGAAGTATTGAACGAGATTGGTATTCGACCTCGCAATAAAGCATTTCATTATAATAATTCTTCATTTCGACAAAAAATCTTTTTTTTGAAAACTTTTAATGAACATCGAAGTTAATAATGCCTTGAAACGACTGAAAGAACGGCAAAATATACCCGGTTTTCAGAAGCAGCAAAAGTTTAGAGTAGATGTTTGTAAAAAAAAATCAAATTTTGTTAAGACGAAATCTTCATTACTTATCTCGCGCTACTCAATCACGTCAGAGTCCTCTAAGTATCTGGATGTACGCTCGCGCACGCTAATTAACCAATCAGAGCGCGCGTTATATCGTGGCTATGTCATGAAATATTTTTTTCGCAGTGTGACCTTCAATAATGACTATATAAAAATTATTTTTGGCCTGATTGAAAATATCCCATCCCATCCCACTCACCCATCCATCCATCCATTCATCCATCCACTCATCATTTCATGTGCGTAGCAGCTACCATTTAAAGACTCGAAGACTCTTGCTTTGTCCACTTGCAATTTTTAACTTTGTCTGCCGGGTAAAAAGAAAATGAATGTGCTCATGAAAGAAAAAACAAAGCTAAAAGTACATGGACCATTTTAGCCATTTAGCGTATTTTGGGGGTTTTCAATTCCAATTCTTAGTCTTCGTCCGAATAGCATTATTGCACTTTAATTTTTAGCATTACTAAAAATA